AAAAAATATGTACGATTCGTTATTGGAACATGAGGAAATTTTGTGGTGCACGTACCCCCGCGCCCGATGATCACTACGAGGGAACTATTTTTGAAACCAAAAGAAAGAAAATTGATTTGGATGCACATAAAATGTATAAATCTGCAAAGGAATAATATTTCTTATATGATATACTCCATATAGAACAGCACATGCAGAATTGTATTGTTCTTTTTAAAAGCGGTCCATGTTTGTGTACGAGAAATGCCGCCAGCCTCTACTTGTCTCAACGCCGTTTATATCCTCCAAATTCGCCTAACCATCATAAAAGGTAAGCCTTTAAGATAACTAATACAACTAATTTATGTGTAGATATGTAGTGAAATCAAATTAAACTAAAAAAAAGTCGTAAATGGTCTATTTGAAGAGTGGTGAGAACAGCTTCCTCTATGATGGTGAATGACGTCCTTTATCAGAATTAATATCGACCCAATTTTCGTAAAGAGGGCAATTAATAACAGCCCAGCACTACTAAAATAATTGTTTCCTTAGTATAATCACTTATTAGCCTATATTTTTTATTTTAATAAGTCCAAATATGCCAGGTAACTAGTGCTAAGTACTTCCCAGGCATGTTTCGTTTGTGTATCAGTTTAACCACAATTTGCTACTAATAAGATAAATTCAGTGACCTAAATTCATGTTTTAGTTTTTTGTTCCCTTAGTGACTCAATGTATTACAAGAAAGAACTACTTTACGACTTGTTTGGACCAACAGTTGGAGTGGTAATATTAATTAACTTTGCCATTGACAGTGGTAGAATCAAATGTAGATATATTGGCTTTGTATGTCCATGATTTCAACAAAAATGAATAAGTCCTTCTAAAGTAAATGGAATTGATGATATTATTATCTTCTTGGCCATCCAGGTAATTTAATGATTTTAAATTGACCGATCTTTACCAGTTAAGATAGGTTACGTTAGATTAGTTAAGTTGGGTTAGGTTAGGTTTGGTGACATTGAAATTATGTTTTTTCAAATACCAAGTAGGTGGATGACCTAAACATTCATTTTATCAAATTGTTTTTTTACAAATTCATACTCCGTAAAGTTCAAATGGCAATCACTTCATGATAGATATTTCACCCTATACACTAAAGCTACTTTATGTAAGAGGAAAAAATTGGCACCAAATTGTATTGTTTAATACCAAAAGAAGTCATTGATGATAATATTTAATAACAATATTTCAGGTATTACGACCTGGTCGTCGGGTCGGAACACCGTCGTAAGTCCAGGAGAGACTCTAATACGTTTTCATCTTTAAACTCCTTGTATCTTACCTAACTCACCTTGATGCTCCACTCAATTATAGCTAGATGTAATAATTGTAGAAAGTAATCACAGGTATGACTCCCTTTACTGTTAATTGTTTTTATATTACAATTCTTGGATATTCAGAGATAATGAAATTATGAATCTTCAATATAAGTGATATACGTACATTCTAATGATGACAACAGAAATATGTCAGACTTGACAAATTAACTGTGACCATAAATTAACCTAAGTAAATATGTCCTTAATTCAACCTTTAAAATACGAAAGACAGTATACTTTATTTTATGATAGTTAAGTCAGTTTCCAGTTAGGTTAAGTTAGGTAGGTTAGGATAACATTTATATATAGATCATTAAAATTTAAAGGGCTTATAATTTTTGTTCTATAAATTTCTCCAAAAGAAGGGATCAAAGTTTTGGAATACCATAACAATATACACTACAGTACATTAGAAAAAACAATAATTTTTTTTAGTGTGTGTTGCATATCAAACCAAACAAATCTGAGTTTCCATTGGAATTTTTTATTTTTATTTTTTTAAGACAAAATTACCCTCAATATTTAGATGCTGTAAACTTATAAATATTAACCCTCATAAATATAGATGTTTCATAATTCGCAAATTTAACTAACACAATATTAATGACCTTATTTTCACTTACAGGTAGAGTTACAGCTGACTATTCACCTTTCACCAATACTGAAGAAATAAATCTTGGTATCATTTGATTGATGGGGAATTTTTCCAGTTCCAGGGAAGATTTTGGAATTTGCTTTCTAACCTAACCTCGGAACTGGTTCCCAGACTCGGAACAGAAAAATTTGGAGACGTTCCGTAAAATCCCCAAATTACTCATAGACCAGAAAAAATGCAGTTTCTGGAATTTTCTGAACATATACTTTGGAGAAATCTTAACATACTGTATGCCTTAATTATTATTATTATTATTTTTTTACACTTTGCATACATACGTGGATATTACGTATTAATTTATTTGTGAAATTTGTGGATGATTTTTCTTTTAATATACTTTACTCTTGATCATCCATATATTATAACATATCCTACTTTTAATAAAGGCTATATTCTGAAATAAGCATTATCATTGTATTCTTATCCTTATTGTTATTACAGTTTATATTAAACATTAAAAAATGCAGGAATGATTTGCAATTAACATTGCAGACTGTATTGAGGATATTTTTAAACCATTTAATTATTATCTTGTTCTATGTTTAACATTATTAGTCTCTGATTAGTTGGTAGAATTTCATGACTATACCTACTGTATATGGGTTCCATGACATTTGCTCACAAGATGAACCTAATCTAACGTAACATGTCTTCATTTCCATAATAGTTGAGTATATGCCTTGTAAACAAATGTCTGCACACTAACTATATGAAGGCTCTCTGGTGAGGATCCATATACAATATTTACATGTAATATTTTTCCCAATAAAAAACCATTTAAACAGCAGACACTTTTCTCCGCCTTCTGGTTTAGTCCATGTCTTAACACACTGTATACATTTTTACTCCTCACATTGGGGTAGTGTTCATGTCTTGTTTTATTGAAAGGGTATTTATTGCATTACTATAATCAGGTGGAGAAAAGGAGGAAATATTATCTCAAGTTTTCATATCTTGTAGATAACTGGCCTTGTATAATATGAAAGTAAAAATTTTGATATAAAGATAATTTCCTGTTTGATAGAAAACTAACAGTTATGGTAATATTTTTCAAGATTTTATCCCAATTCATCTGTACAGTGAGTTCATCACTGTCATAACAAAATTATAATACCTAATACTGTACTTTGGTATATTCTACTGACTTCATCCACAGAACAGGCCATAGTTCTATTTATTACACTCACCCAACCCCAAGTTCATGAAAAATTTATAACTTTATTGCTATTACACTCAATTCCTACGATTTTATGGTTGCCACAGGCATTATTTACCTATATTCACTGTAAATGATCGTGTTTTAATTCCAGAATTGGCTTATAATCCAAGAAAATAGGAAAATGAGGTGCACCTTATTTTGGGATTCAAGTAGACCTGTGCAAATAGGTACTAGTCGATCCATAGTTTACCATGATGAGATGTATCAAGTGAAACATGTATATGGAGCAAGTAACAAGATCACTAGATTACAAGATGTTGTAACCGCTAGATTAAGGTTAGGATATATGTACCTCTGGCGGTATGTTCCTCAAGCAGATGTAAACAAGACTAAATGTAAAGTGTGTGGCCAGACATATAGCCACACATTTGAACACTACTGGTTCGACTGTGTGAAGATAGAACCTCTTAGGGACAGGTCCAAGCACACTGTGTGTGAAATGGCACAACACTTCATCTCTAATGGCAAGATAGTCGACATATTAAGATTGTATCCATTTTTTTGCACTTAGTAACTATATCAGTTCTCATGTATAGAACCAAATATACAATGTGCTTGAATACTTCTCACGCAAATGTGAATAACAAAGTGTGCGGCCAGACATACTGCCTCACACGCCTGTACACACGCATTTGTGAACAAGTTACCCTTTATGTATAGAACTAAACAAATAATGTAATTGAAATACTGTGTAACATTCAGTACCATAATATCCTGACAACGGGGGTTAATTATTATGACCCGTTGTAAACTCTACTCTGTAATTCTTTTGCGCTACCGCTCACAGGATGAGTGTGGGTTGCACAATAAAGTAGCCGCTGTAAGAGGCAAAATCAAATCACTTTCACGCAGTGAGGTTCCAGGTACCCAGAGATAACTGCCCGTGAGACCCAAAAACGAGTGAATTACTACACTACGAGTTTACTGTTTATCACCTCAGTGCATGTGGCTTACTGTGAGGGAATTCATACACCACGTGATGCCCCCAGAACACCATCTGTGAGGGAGTTACTACACCACGTGAGGTCACTCATAACACCATCTGTGAGTGAGTTACTACACCACGTGAGGTCCCTCATAACACCATCTGTGAGGGAGTTACTACACCACGTGAGGTCCCTCATAACACCATCTGTGAGGGAATTACTACACCACGTGAGGTCCCTCATAACACCATCTGCGAGGGAACTACTACACCACGTCAGGTCTCTCCTAACACCATCTGGGAGGGAGTTACTACACTACGTGTATGTTCACTGTACAGTATGTTCCTTTGCCCTTCTCTAATGAAGGCTTTTGTTAAACCACCAATGTATGTAATAAGTCATTTATGTCCAATGTATATTTTCAGCCTTCGGGCTGCAGAACTTTTTCAATAAACCGTTAATTGTTATTATTTTTATTATTATTATTATTATTATTATTATTATTATTATTATTATTATTATTATTATTATTATTATTATTATTACACACACACACACACACGAGTATAGTATTCATCGAGAAAATATTTACGCTCTAAAATAATGAGATATTTTGTAATCCAGTACTATATAGATTACTTGCTATAAATCAGTCTTTTAACGTTGCTTTAAAAGAAATAGTTATTGTATCCTACATTGTCCTTAATGTAAATTTTATAGGAAATGGCAAACACTATCAGGCAACCGAACAGCCAATCAGAAATATAGTTACCTCTGGCGTCATTGATTAAGTTTCTGTACAAGTCTGTTGTCTCTCGCCAATAAGTACCCCAGATTAACAACTATCGGGACAAATACGTTGGAGACGTCGGGAAGGAAGGACCACCTGAGTGTTGCTGAGCCAAGTAAGTGAAAACAGCGAGTTTCCAGGGCAGAGTATAGCGATTGGTGGGGAATTATATTTCTTGCAGTTTGTGGGTTTTCTGGTACGAAAGTACGATAGTGGTTTTTGTTTCATGGTTAAGGAGATTTGTTTCATAATCTAACCCATTATTTTTTTTTAAATTGCCACGAAAAAATTGAAAGGTGGGAGGGGAAAGTTTCGTTTAATCGTTTCTTTAACAGACGTGCAGACATGTAGAGTCACCAAAATATAATTCTGCACCTTTATGGTGTTATACAATATGACACACCTGCCCAAGAATTCTGACCAACACTCATAAGTAGGGCCCGGATAGTTATGCATTTGCATATTTCATATGCAAATGCATATTTTGCGTGATTTCTATGATAAGTGCATATTACCTAGATAACTGCATATAAATGCATATTTTGGTAAAATATTCATCTGGCAGTATCTCTTTGTTGCCACTGAATGAGCACACGTGGTACTGGGAGGTGAGGTGAGGTGTGGTTAGGTGAAGTGAGGTGAGGTCACGTCGCTTTAATCTGTTGGTTAATGGTGTTCTTGATGAACTGAAAAGTTTGTAGTCTGATGCTTACTATGGTAAACTGAGTAACGTGTTGTACAAAAACAAGGGATTTGAAAAGCTGAAAAAAGTCAGTCAGATAATGTCTGGTGATGCTATTATTGACGAGACGGTACAGCCACTCACTATGTCAGACCTCCTATGTATGAAACATGCACCAATCGTCTCGTGTGATGTAGAAAGGGTGTTCTCAGAATATAAAGCTATGCTGACAGACAACAGGCGGGGTTTTAACTTTGAGAACTTACGCCACCATGTCATCATCAAATGCAACCACAATCTGTAATGTCTGAAAATATGCCAGTCTATAATGTAAATACAAGTTCATATATATTTTTTGAAGCACTTTCACATAGATATGTTAAATACATTACGTATATTGCGTAATAAACATTAACATTAGTTTATATTAACTATTTTGTTTCCGTATAACCTGCATTCTTGGCTTTATAAGCGATTTTTTAGTGCATATAAATGCATATTTCCCCTGTTTTAGTGCATATTTGCATGCATATTTCATGGTTTTTTTAGTGCATAACTATCCGGGAATACATATGAAACCCGTAACTTATGAGTCATAAGTTACGGGTTTCATATGTATTCCTGTTATTATCTCTGCATTAACTATATTCGATGTACAGAATGCATCGTATTGGTTACACAATGCATCACACAATCAAACCTTCCAACCTTACCAAATGGAAAAGGCCTCAGTCTGTGATCGTTTCGAAGGCCGTCAGACCCAAGGGTGCAAAAAAAATTATTTTTGTTGACTGTACAATCTGTTTCTAAGGTACCAAGCAAGGTTAGTTTTAGATGTTATAAGCCAGATTTTTTATATCCTCCCCATGTTAACTTTCGATGAAGTTAGTTTTGTCATCATTGAGTGGAAAATGCTGAAGCATTCAGTTTATGTAGCAAAATATTTTAGTTTAAACTTCATCATAGTTCATGAAAGAAAAATCGATCTTTGACAATAAATATTTTGTGTATGTGAATAAATATTGAGGGGTACGATAGAGACGAGTATACTGGTCGACCGAAGGTGAAATGGGAAATGTCCTTCAGGTCTCCCAAAGAAAGACTATATGACAGAAATCTGTAAAACAGAAAAATATATAATACGGAGTTCGACTCATGATTACACTGTTCACTGCTATAATTCAATGTTTTATCAATAGTGAAATAAGAGTATAGTTATTACCAAGTTAACAGGATGACGAGCAAATAAATCTAAATGTTCAGTAAGTTCTACATTCCTTCAGTCATTATGTTCCGCTCCTGTTAATCAACTTTTTTACTATACTTATTTGGGGGTAAGTAGAGCAAATTGAAGAGAGAACATTAATCGTTTGGTTGATTCTAATAATAAAGACCAGGGGCTGATGAATATTCTCTGATATTATGACACTACAAAGCTGGTAGATGTTAAAAGTGCCTCGATGCGTTAGAGCCTTCAGTAATAATGATACAGTACTGCAATTTAGAAAGAAAAAAACATGAAATTACCTGTTCTTAGTAATTTCATATAAAACAAGGAATTAAATATTAAGAAACTACACGGTTAGTTGTGAAAATTGTTTGACTAAATACTATTATACAGGCCATGTGTTTTTTGTTAGTTTTTAAAAGCACAGCAAAAATTCGATGATGTGGAATGACAACATATTAATGTAATTTCCTGTTCTTAGGATGACAGAATTAGTTTTGACAATGAATAAACCTAAAACAAAAACATCTGACAGAAAGATTTTCTATAAAAAAATTGAGCTGCCAGTTATTCAAATAGACACTCCCGTTTGACAGAGGCAGCCAGGATGGAGAAGCGACGTATTCATAATCGAGCAGTGATTGCAGATCGAGCCAAGATCGTATGGATGTGGATAGGTGGCTTAACGGCACGAGAAATATCCATTGAGACCGGGGCAAGCGTGACCACCGTGTACAGGTGGATCAGGCGGTGGCAGGAAGAAGGCACAGTGGCCACAAGACCCTACCGTAGACGACCTCGCTTGGTGGAGAGAGACACTAACGTCGTTGTTGACAGAACCCCCAAGTCGCAGCTCATGACAACGAGTGAAAATGTCTCCCACACTCTACAGTCTAATATTGTCTCTAACACTTTGCAGACTCACAATATTTCTAACTTTCTGCAGACTCACAATGTCCCCAACACTCTCCAAACTGAGAGTGCCTCCAGCAGCTTTCAGACACTTCGAGCCTCTAGTGGAGAGAAAGATAATTATTTCCGGGAGAGCAATGTTAATGAGTTTCTACCTCTCTACTGTGAGCCGTCAGTGCAATTTTACAAGGACAAGTGGATGCTTAACACCCTTAGATACTTGCAACAATATCAGGGACCTTGTGGCAATCATGTTGGTGTTATGACACATTCTTGTATACATCCAGAATGATATAGATCTTAACGTGATTTTATCACAAGGGAAATAAAGAAAGAATGTCAGAGGAATGAATAAAGGCTTGAATAGTTCTTTTTGGTCTTATCGCCAAGTCATGAAGTGTGACAAGGAAATTTATCCCACTGGTTGCCACTGAGAGAATAATACTTATAATAGAGATTATAATTAAATCACTATATTAAATGATATGCTTGTACTGAAATACACGAACAGTTCTCAATATTTCTTATGAAATGATGTTTTAATATATGTTCAAGCTATTTCCACTTGGACATTGAACTAAAATACATAAAGGAACTACTCTTTAACAATGGTTTCCCTAAGATATTTACAGACACTTATATTGGCAAAACCCTTAATAGGTTTTTTAGTCCCACACAGCCTCAAATCCACACTGTCCCTAAATATTCCATCTCACCATCCCGTACACAGGCCCACTCAGTTTCACCCTTAGAAATAAACTTAAGAAGCTTTTCAATGAATTCTATCCACAAATTTCTCTTAGACTAATCTTTAAAACCCAGAGTTCAATTAAAAAATATTTTAAAATTAAAGACACCATACCCACACACCTGCAATCCTCAGTTGTTTATCAATTTACGTGTGCTAGCTGTATGGCAGCATATATAGGTAAAACTAAAAGACATTTGACAACTCGCATCCATGAACACTTGGGCCGTTCCGTTCGAATAGGCCAGTTAATCGCACAACCGCCACATTCAGCTATTCGTAACCACGCCCACCAACATGACCACCCGTTTTCGCAGTCTGATTTCTCAGTTCTTGGCAGGAGCGACTGTGATACAGACCTCCTCATTATGGAGGCATTACACCAGTATAAAGCAAAGCCATCCCTTTGTGATATGGCCTCTAGTGAATTACTGTGTTTTTCTCACTAAGGCTCGTCTGAATTTAGGTAATACCCCCCTGTATAGTTTATTTCATGCTTTTTTTTTCCTGATTTTAGCTGTATGTAGGTCTCTCGTCATTTTTCTCGGTTTTGAATTGGATTGCTCTTTTTTAAATTTGTAAAGTTTATCGAAGGTAAATTTTCATATAATATTATGTTTTTATTGCATATCACATGTATTTTTTAAAACTTTTTCGAAACTTTTGTGTTTTTAGGCTCTGATGATGGAAAACGATTATTTCCGAAACGTTAGCGATTAAAAGAAGCCCACATGGTCAAGATGTTTGTGTTTACACTGGTTCTCCTCTTCGCTACGTAATATTTGTTTTGCATATTTTCGTTAGCTATTTTTGATAAATTATCTTATTGGTTTATATCAAAGCTGTTAACCCCTAAAGAAATATATATATTATAACTTTTTAAATCCTTGTATATGTGTTCTTCATATGTCCTTTACACAATATCTTACTCTAAGCTGATTCTACTGTAAATACAATTACATACGAACTGTCAAAATATTAACTGAGAAATAACTGCATTAATAGATGTGAAGCCAAGGCTCAGCACTGTGGCCTGCATCTGTTTCTTCTCTTAGGTTTCAGCATTTAACAACATATAACATTAATTCAGGAGTGATTTTTGTTTTTTTCATTAAGAATAAAGTGAATTTATATTTTCTTGGTTGTTTTATTAATTTATATCATATTTTCGATCCCATAAACATTTATTAAGCGAGTATTTACTCATCTAATCAATTACTTAATTTACTGTATTTCACTTGGTTGTATTAGTTATAATGATTTGGTTGTACTACAAACTATTTTCTTTATTTTCAGACATCAATCATTTGCCATGTTTGTTATAGTGCTAGAAAAATTAACACTTTTTTGAAGATAGATGTTAACACAAAAATTAAATTGGAGTAATTTGTAAGGTTAAGACATAAGGTAATGGTATAAACGTGTTTACACCTAAGGTAATGAGGGGGCCCTACAGACACTAAAGCCATTATAGGTCTTAGCTGAGTTTCTGACTGAAAAAAAAAATAAATAGCTGAGTACATGAAAATATTGAGTGAATTTTTTTACCATTTTACACTTATTCATATAAGTTCTGGGTGGGGATTTTTGGACCCCACATTACTCATCGAGGGATAAGAAATGGAAGTACGGAGGAGAAAACCGAGGATTTAAAGACCAATGGCCTTAAGCTTTTGCCTATATATCCGCTTCCCCAAGGGGCCTTGGAGCCCTCATTTGCAAAGAGAAATTTGCCTACAACAACAATAAAAAAACAGTATCGAGAGACATTTTACGAAAATATAAATATGTGTGTGTGTGTGTGTCATATTGAGTTAATACTACTGCGTTCATGTAAACACAGTGCAACTGACGGTTTGCATTAAAGAGTTAAATTCTTGTTTTTATTGTTATGTCTTCATGGAAACTGTTTCATCGTTTCATTTATGAGGTTGTTTACTGTCGCAAGGTAACCAAAGTTTCATGAGTTACAGGGTAGGTTACGTTAGGTTGGTTGTTTAAATGATGATGCTATATATTTACAGTTGCATCGTATCTCCTGATAGTTTGTATACTCAAACTAGTTTGAATTTTGGATTTTTTTTTATAGAAATTACCTCTATTTTACATTTATCCCGATAAATACAAAATGACAGAAGTAAAATATTGTGCCTCTATTTTCCAGAATAGAATGATGTCATTCAGCCTTCAAATGCTGTTGGCGGTGTTTACACTTCTGACCCCAGTAGTAACAATTGCTCCTACGACTGATATGGTGGGTAAAATGGTGTTTTGGAACCTAGAACAGCACTTCCCCGGGTGTCACCTGGTGCTGATCACAACACAACACTCACGCGTGTCCTCCAGTATAATCCGGTGAAGAACAAAATTTACCTATGAGTTAATTCTTATATATTACTATATATTTGCCACCTCCTCTACTGATATAATAATAATAATGATAATAATAATAATAATAATAATAATAATAATAATATTAATAATAATAATAATAATAATAATAATAATAATAATAATAATAATAATAATAATAATAATAATAATAGATAATAATAGATAATAATAGATAATGATAATAATAATAATAATAATTTATATTCGTCAGACACATGGGTGTGGGTGTTGCGGCTGGCGTGGTAGTGGAGGCAGGGTGGGTGTTGTCTCAGGACCAGCTGACCCAGGACCACCTCCTGCAGGGGCTGTGGGAGGACACCAGAACCACCTGCCGGGCCCTCATCCTTGACCTCACCACCAGTAACAATACTAACCTCGTGCTCGGGTACAGTATGTTTCAGAAATGCCCGTAGTCCTCACTGTCGAAGAAAATTCACGCGTACTATTATTTTACTATACATCCTGAAATTCGAACAGGAGTTTTCCTGACTTTTGCCTCTACCACTACTTTTTGGCAACAATCCTTTTTTGTTTAATCAGCTACTGTAATATATCATGCGATAACTTATTCGATTCATTTCGCATATCCGATATAAATTCGGAGCTGTTGTCATCAGAGATGATGAAAACTTTCAAATTAATAGTAAAAGAACTTTTAAAAATATGTACTGCTGTGGGTGATGAGCGAGACACCTCGAATGAACAGAACCGAAACAGCGATTAACGTTATAAAGTGATGATAATCTCAGAATAATTCAGTTAAATAAATTGGGTCTGTGTATTAAGTCACACTGTAAGTAACTTTGGTATATTGTTACGGAGTTGTGAGTGAAAGATGAATTACAAACCTGCGGAAAACACTTTACAAATTCATGAAATTTGTTTTTGTTTTTTTTGTTAATGAGAAATGATAGTTTTACCTGTGCAGTATTTTGCTTTCGAGACGATTATGCAGCAGACTGATTCAATAACAGTGTGTGGATAACATTGTTGGGTAAGTCTTAGGTAATGTTCTATCATGCGTAAGTTACGGTAACACTTTTTATGATACTGTCAAATTTAGGCAATTCGTAAACTTATTATCCATTACATTATATCTAAAGTATCGATGTATTTTGATATGTTCTCTATTTAGGTTAAGGGTTATTCATACACTCAATCTTCTCTTTCCAGCTTGGTTGAATCTTCAAACTTGTGGCAGAGATCATAAACGGTGGTAGCAGTGGTGGGTGGGAGGGCAGGAGTGAAGGACGTCCTCCTCCACCATAGTCTCCGCAACACCGTTCACGGCCTCTACCTGGCCCTCCACGACCTCCCCCTTCACACCCCACCGCGCCACGGTAATTCACTCCTCAGGAGGATCGTCCCACAGCAAGGTTATTAACTTATATCTTCTAAATTTACTATCGGTTTAAATCTCACTCATCATATCTGTGTCATATCATGAATGATATCAAGAAGTTGCAAATTACATTGTTTTTCTGTTCATATGTGGCATACATGCACAACTTTGCAGATATGGAAAAACACGAACATAATAAAACACACACACTCACACACACACACACACACACGCACTCTATTGTACAATGTACATTATAATCATATCCTGTTTTTTATACACGAAAATGCATTTTTGGTTGTGCTATTCTCATGTTTCATTTCCAACACGGAACATGGTACAAGTTCAAAATACCATGCGTTTGGGAACTTTCGATACGACTAGATTTCATTGAGCAGATTGGTCCTCCTCTGGAATTGTCACGTTGTCACGTTACCCTGTTAGGTCCAGGAGTGGTACCCTTACAAAATTTCAAGGAAGATTGCGTTCGTCTTCGGAGATACACGGTTATAGTTTTGCCCCCCCCCCCTCCCGCCGTCAACAAACTTGGTCTGCCTCTCGACCTGCTAACTCACAGGACCGAAAATGATATATTTTGCCAAGTTGCTCCAGCAAACTTACGGTCTACGCAATCTGCTATGCCCTGGGCGCTACAAGGAACCCGTCCCTCGCTATCAACCTGGGGGACGAAGGAATTTCTTTTGTCCCGGATTCGGCGATCACGGACCATACTCACCTCGGAGGATGGAATCTCTCTGTTGATAGTGGAATCGAATTCTTACCAAGATTTGCATTCACTTTCCCTGATAACCTTTTGTGTTTGAGACATCTTCTCTATTCTGGTTAATTGCTCTGCGCAAGAACTCGAAGGAAAAATCTGTACCATTGCATTCACGAATTGCTTGATGGTAACCTGAGGTCCACCCTGGAGCTCCGCATCTACCAGTAGCAGCATAAATCTCTGGAATGTGTCCTTGTTCTGTAATTGGCTAAACTACCGGAGTATATAAATGACACTTTTTTTTTAGTTACTGAACTAGTAGTTACATTATTTGCTAATAAATGATGATTTAATACACATTTCTTAAGTGCGACTGTTTTATAATTTTCTTTAACATATTGCATGCAAATATATGTATTACACATCTCACTCTAGAGAGATAGAGAGAGAGAGAAGAAGGTGAGATGTATTAAATCTATTATTTAGTTTCTTCGGCAGCATTAGCGAGTGAGCGTGTGTGGGTGTACCGGCGGTGTCTGTACTGCAACAACGGGGAGGCGGACGTCCAACTTATGCACAGGTGGAACCTCACCTCCCTCCCCCATCATACTGATGACCTCTTCCAAGGTGAGATCTATTAGTAGTAGAATATTTTTTTTGTGTAATTTCTCTGATATAATTTTGATCTGGTTCCTAAATAACTTGCATTGATGGTAGTCTTAGTACTATAAGTTTATGTATATTTCAGTTAATAGTGTTATAACATTACTCTGAAGTATATGATAGATTTCATAATACTTTAAAAGCCACATCAAAGAGTATTTTAGTTTTGACCAGTAACCAAGACATCTAATAGGTATTAAACAAATTTATAGATTTTTTGTACGCCTGCATGGAATTATAGGGTCTTATGTTTTTAGTCCTTATCTATATACATAAAGAGAGAGGACTGAAATATGGCGTGGAAATGTGCATGCACCCCAGAAATGTCTAAATAATGGAATTTTGGGGAGTTGGCCCTAGGGAGGTGGGGGGAGGGTGGAGGAATGTTGGGAGTCATACAGTGTGATAACATTTACCACACCTTTAACACCCTCTACCAACCTGTTAGACTAAGAACATCAACCTGCACCAACACTTTCGTAATGGAAAAGAAAAATAGTCCACTTACCCAACCCAATGGTATGTAGTATAGAAGATAATGTAGTGCATATAGTGAAGACGATACTGTAGAGTATGTAGTGTAGTTGTTAGTATATTAGAATGGTACAATGTAAATCAGGGGTTCTCAAACTTTTTTCAACCAAGGACCCTTTATATGAGAGGAAATAAACCGAGGACCCCCTCACATATGTCCCCCCAAATAATTTTATATTAGGCCTATTTTTCACACTTCTATATAGGTTATGTGGACAAACAAACACAAATCAAAAGAAATGTATTATATATATGTAACCGGTCGGAATTTGCTGGACTTTAATTTCTCACTTGACTTGGGGTTTATTAAAATTTAATAGATGGTAAAGGCAGTGGAAGCGCCCCTTTGAGAAAAATCCCGAACCAGCACAAGAACACTTAAATCTACTACACAAAATGAACTGTCCGTGACCCGTGGAAGGATAGCGTCTGTGACTGGGATGAATGAGACACACTGTAAAATTTAGACACTTATATTCCCTCCAACACTACAAACACAATCAAATAATGGTACACCAATATGCGCACCTCTTAACTTAAACTTTAACCACTACTCTGGGGAATAAAAGTTATACATGACATAGAAATTATTAGAAACACAGGCAACAATAAATTTAAAGTATTAAGAAATGTTAATTGCACATATGAAACAGGCCTCTTAAGGGCTTTCACAAAATAATATCAGTCACTTAGGAAATGGTATTAAAAAATAAGAAATTAACTACTCTACAATGAATAGGCCTTAAGGGCTTTCAGCAAAATAATATCACTCAACAAAATTATAGCACCCCAACAGGTGTACACTTCCTAACCTAACCTAACCACTGCTCTGGGGAACAAGGTTATACCTGAGATCAGAATTATGAAGAATTAGAGGCATTAAAAGAATCAAATCACAGTATCACTCTGGTTCCACTTAATGGCACAAACATTCAAAAAAACACTACTATCAAAATTATTTAAGAAATATTAAACTACACACGTCAAGATAATATCAGTCTGAGGAATGGTGTTAACTACACCCGTGATAAGGAAGATAAAATGTTCCTCTAGGTGTCTCCTAGAGTCCTAGACTCACGGTCTCAGTGTGTGACCATTAATATACTCAGATAGCCTCAGTGTACTCCCAGTGCGTCCATGGGCAGGAAGAGAGTGAGCCAATCAGACCCTGTGCAGTTGAGAGGAGCTTTAGCTTCCCGTTAGCAAGAGGGTTTCACTAAGCGGCTCTGGACATGTGGTGTTGTGAGCCGACGTCAGCTGGGCACCCAGACGGCTAGATTCCCTCAAGAGATCCTTTGGTACCCCGCTAAACAGTGACAGGCCTACTCTGATCGGTCCAATGGCGACAATCGCCACCCTCAATCATCAACGGCAGTCTCAAACGGCAGTCAATCTCTCGCAGTCAAACTCCGGTCAACTCCAGTCAACTCCAGTCAAGTGGGTTCTGACGGAAACCCTGAAATGAACTCACTGTTAGCTCTAGTTTACTTTATCACTGCCCTATCTAACCCTGTCTGAGATCGAATGAGACTTACTTGTTATACTGCAATAGCGCAGCACAGGTGACTAGGCCACGTGACTATTTCTGATGGACGCGCGGAACGTCTTGTCTGTGTGAATGCTCTCCGGGACTGGCCTAGCCAGCGTCGTGTCTCCCCAAGGCGCTAGCTTGGGCCTACGTGATATATTTTCCGCCTAACTAATAACTCCTTGGGACACCCGTAACATTATTCAGACTGCTAAACGATCTATAATAATTTCAAATTCAATAATAGTCCCTTAACTTCATGAATCGCATCATTATTAATTCGGTAAATCATATTTAATATCATATAGGCCTAGTTCCGCAATCTCTCGCTACGAGCAGGCAGCGCTCCCTCCCCTCAGATGACCTTGAACGCTCAGTATCACTCATGGCGGGGCATTTGAAATTACTCTGAAATTTCTGGATATCACAATCGACCCCCCTAAAAAAAGACAGCACTGTCCTCATGTGCTGAGAAAACATGCATACGACCCCCCTAAAATTTTGTTCTAAGGACTGCACCTCACCCCTTTAACGTGCTAAACGCAGCATTTGTCTTCTCTTCTCTCCTTTTCTCTCCCGCTAACACTCGACCCCCCTAAAAAAAGACAGCACTGCCCTCATGTGCTGAGAGAACAACTTAGAACCCACCTTCAACTCTGTACTATTCCACTCGCAGCTAGCAACTCCATTTCTTCCTAGCCCAACTCAATCCAACCAGAACATCACGCTCCCCTTTTGCCTGGCCCTTAACTAGAGAACCAATGTCAAAATTAATACCAGCCCAAAACAAACATGCTCTCCTTTGGCCTGGCCCTTGAACTAAGAGGAACCAGTGTCAAAAAAATACACAGTCCAAAACAAGCATGCTCTCCTTTTGCCTGGCCCTTGAACTAAGAGGAACCAGTGTCAAAACAATACTCAGTCCAAAACAAGCATGCTCTCCTTTTGCCTGGCCCTTGAGCTAAGAGGAACCAGTGTCAAAACAATACTCAGTCCAAAACAAACATGCTCTCCTTTTGCCTGGCCCTTGAGCTAAGAGGAACCAGTGTCAAAACAATACTCAGTCCAAAACAAACATGCTCTCCTTTTGCCTGGCCCTTGAACTAAGAGGAACCAGTGTCAAAACAATACACAGTCCAAAACAAACATGCTCTCCTTTTGCCTGGCCCTTGAGCTAAGAGGAACCAGTGTCAAAAAAATACTCAGTCCACGTCTCCGAACCTCATGCCGGCAGACCAACCCTCTGAAAATGTACCAGTCCATCTTAGTGAGGCCCTGGACATTACAACCGTACTCTCAATCCCGCTCATGACAGCAACTCAATCCCGCTCATGACAGCAACTCAATCCCGCTCATGACAGCAACCACTACTCAACGCACATCTCTGACCTAACCATCTCTCCAATCCCCTCTGCCCTACTCATTACCATGCACCCTAAACTGCAATCGGTCGGCTTCATCTTGTCTCTCAGCTGGAGGGCTCGATCAACCTCTCTGAACTACTTACATACCCCTATATTTCCCACTTGGACCTCACACTTCCTTGACTGCTGGACGTGTGCCTGACATTCACCCCTTGTTTCCTCCCTGAACCGTTGAATGTGTGCCTGAGACTCCCACTTGAACCTGTTTACCTGTGCTTGATAATCCCTCTTTAGGTCTCCGAACTCCTCTCTCAGCTGTACCAAGGTCCCGCGGCCGTCTCTCTTCCTCCTCATACACATCTCTATTGTCAAGCCTAACCAACTCAGTCCGGGCACAAGGATGAGCATCAGTGCGAGTTCAATCCCTACCATTGCTAACCAACACATGATGGCGTTCATTATCCCAACCACAGTACTATCAGTCACGACATTAAAAACTACGCTCTGGTACCATTTGTAACCGGTCGGAATTTGCTGGACTTTAATTTCTCACTTGACTTGGGGTTTATTAAAATTTAATAGATGGTAAAGGCAGTGGAAGCGCCCCTTTGAGAAAAATCCCGAACCAGCACAAGAACACTTAAATCTACTACACAAAATGAACTGTCCGTGACCCGTGGAAGGATAGCGTCTGTGACTGGGATGAATGAGACACACTGTAAAATTTAGACACTTATATTCCCTCCAACACTACAAACACAATCAAATAATGGTACACCAATATGCGCACCTCTTAACTTAAACTTTAACCACTACTCTGGGGAATAAAAGTTATACATGACATAGAAATTATTAGAAACACAGGCAACAATAAATTTAAAGTATTAAGAAATGTTAATTGCACATATGAACAGGCCTTAAGGGCTTTCACAAAATAATATCAGTCACTTAGGAAATGGTATAAAAAATAAGAAATTAAATACTCTACAATGAATAGGCCTTAAGGGCTTTCAGCAAAATAATATCACTCAACAAAATTATAGCACCCCAACAGGTGTACACTTCCTAACCTAACCTAACCACTGCTCTGGGGAACAAGGTTATACCTGAGATCAGAATTATGAAGAATTAGAGGCATTAAAAGAATCAAATCACAGTATCACTCTGGTTCCACTTAATGGCACAAACATTCAAAAAAACACTACTATCAAAATTATTTAAGAAATATTAAACTACACACGTCAAGATAATATCAGTCTGAGGAATGGTGTTAACTACACCCGTGATAAGGAAGATAAAATGTTCCTCTAGGTATCTCCTAGAATCCTAGACTCACGGTCTCAGTGTGTGACCATTAATATACTCAGATAGCCCCAGTGTACTCCCAGTGCGTCCATGGGCAGGAAGAGAGTGAGCCAATCAGACCCTGTGCAGTTGAGAGGAGCTTTAGCTTCCCGTTAGCAAGAGGGTTTCACTAAGCGGCTCTGGACATGTGGTGTTGTGAGCCGACGTCAGCTGGGCACCCAGACGGCTAGATTCCCTCAAGAGATCCTTTGGTACCCCGCTAAACAGTGACAGGCCTACTCTGATCGGTCCAATGGCGACAGTCGCCACCCTCAATCATCAACGGCAGTCTCAAACGGCAGTCAATCTCTCGCAGTCAAAACTCCGGTCAACTCCAGTCAAGTGGGTTCTGACGGAAACCCTGAAATGAACTCACTGTTAGCTCTAGTTTACTTTATCACTGCCCTATCTAACCCTGTCTGAGATCGAATGAGACTTACTTGTTATACTGCAATAGCGCAGCACAGGTGACTAGGCCACGTGACTATTTCTGATGGACGCGCGGAACGTCTTGTCTGTGTGAATGCTCTCCGGGACTGGCCTAGCCAGCGTCGTGTCTCCCCAAGGCGCTAGCTTGGGCCTACGTGATATATTTTCCGCCTAACTAATAACTCCTTGGGACACCCGTAACATTATTCAGACTGCTAAACGATCTATAATAATTTCAAATTCAATAATAGTCCCTTAACTTCATGAATCGCATCATTATTAATTCGGTAAATCATATTTAATATCATATAGGCCTAGTTCCGCAATCTCTCGCTACGAGCAGGCAGCGCTCCCTCCCCTCAGATGACCTTGAACGCTCAGTATCACTCATGGCGGGGCATTTGAAATTACTCTGAAATTTCTGGATATCACATATATATTAACACTGAGGGAAAGCTGTGACTCACACAAACAGTAGCCAAAAGTAACTTAAACCCCATCCCCAAGCGGCACCTTTGATAGTATCAAAACTCAAAAGAACAATTCAAATAGGAGGAACAAAACAGCATCCTTCATCCAATACACATGTACTGAGTAGTCCCTCTCTACCACAGTGACGACATTTATGTTGGTTGGTAGGCAAGTGGAGAGATGAGGCTTATCACTTTTCTCTGCAAGTGAACACACATAACAAGCAAGATCAATAAATGAAATATATCTCCACCAGGGAAATAGCATCAAAGATCCACATAAATTCAAGCTCTCTCTCTCTCTCTCTCTCTCTCTCTCTCTCTCTCTCTCTCTCTCTCTCTCTCTCTCTCACACACACACCAATATCAAATGTCGCTTCATCATTATTAATGCGAGATGTGGGCCTGTCTCTCAGTAAACAACTTCTCTCGGAGCTGAGAAAGATGCCTCGCAGATGTACGTAGTTGGAAAAGGGAGCAAGATCTTCATAGCAGTAGCAACGAGTTCAGGATACTCTTGTTGAACAGAAGGTCAAAAGTCTACATGCACACCTTGACGGAACCGGGTCCTCTGGGTCCCATCCCATGACAGCTCCAACAGCTCTTTCTCTGCCTTCCCACTGAGAGCGACGCGCTGATGAATGGGCAACAAATGGATCCCGATCACAGTCCGAGGCATCGGTGTCAACATCAGTGAAGTACGAACTGAAATGTTCATTCAGTGCAGTGAGGTGACAGCGGATCGGATTTCTCACCAACTCGACTGATAGTTTGTTTGTGTCCAAAAACTGTGAGTTGTGGGAACATGTCGGTGATCCCATTCAGGACCCGCATTCTCCATACCTCGGTTTTCCCCTGAAGGCCTTGATTTTATCGCTGACATCCAGGATAGAGGCATAGCCGCCTTGGATGGATAAATTGAGTCGTTTAATATGCTGAACACGTTGCAAGATAGGCGAGCTGGGCTATCCACTCTGGGTCAGAAAAGAGCGCTGCGGTGGTGGGCTTGACATCTTTCAGAAACTCGCACAGCTCGGTGCGCAGATCAAACACCCGCTGTAAAACTTTCCCATGGGAGAGCCATCGTACCTCAGAGTGGAACAGTAGTGTGTCATGTCCTGCACACATTTCATTGCACAGCTGCTCGAACAGCCGAGACTGTAGTGGCCTTGACTTCACATAGTTAACCACAGACACAACAGTACAAAGAACAGAGTGCAGGTCAGGGGCCATATCTTTGGAGGCGAGAGCCAGCCTGTGCAGCATGCAGTGCGTGGCTACAATCTGCGGATTGAGCACGTTGATTCTCGCAACCCCCCCACTCTTGTGGCCAGTTATAACAGCTGCGCCATCGGTGCAGACAGCAACGCAGTTCTCCCATTTCAGCGTTGTTTCGCTCATGATTGTATCAATTATATTGAATATTTCCTCACCTGTTGCTCGCCCAGTCACCTTTTTACAAAACAAAAAATCCTCAAAAATGTGTCCGTCTCATGGGTAGCGTCGAGCTGAATTGAAAAATGGCACGTTTGCTATCTTGCTACAAGTTGCGATTTTATGTCACAGGACATGTCTTCAATCCTCCTTCTCACTGTGTCGTTTGAGAAAAGTACAGATTTAAGTTTGCTTGCGGCCTCTTTCCTAATCATCACCTCACACATCTCCACCGCAGCGGGGGGTACCAGCTCCTCCCCGATCGTGTGGGATTTCTTGCTTTTGGCTATCCTCTGCAATGTCAGGTAGGAGACCCGCTGTGCCTTCTGGGGAATGGTGGTGAGACTTGTCATCTTAGTTTGTTGTCGGCAGTACACCTCTCTCTTACGCTCAAAAAAAGGACCTGCTTTTCTGAGCACAATCCGGATGTTTCTCATTTCGATGTCTCCTTCGGTTTCTTAGCATCGTTTGAAAGCACCTGCATGCAGATGACACACTTCGGTCTCCCGTCCTTGTTTTCAATGAAGCCGAATTCAATATAACTATCGTCATATTTTCTGACTTTTCCTGACGATTTTGATGGTTTTTCAAGTTCACTTGTAACGTTGGATGCCGGTCTTTTTACAAACCTGTCCTTGATGACAGCTAGCTAGCTAGGAACGATACCAGGCTGCCCGCTGGTGTTCCTGTGAGTCATTGTTGTTACTACCAGGCACGCGCACGGCCCGCGACTAGGAGCACATGACGGAATTGTCTGAAACGATATATATATATCTTCTTAAAATTGGGTGAATAAATATACGAATTACTGGGACCAGATATGGGAAGGTTAAACAAACTTGGTTTAAGTTGCCATAAAAGACTGTGGATGCAAACAATTGACATATAAAACAAACATAACATCATGAGCATTAGTCTGCTGTGGATAATAATGAAAGTGAGATAATACTACACCTCACCTGCCTCCAACCCTCCACCTTCCCTCCCTCAGGGCCTGCCATGAGAGTGTGGGTCCAACTTCACTTACCGGGTAATAGATTAGATTGATGTTTTATGTTTAATTTGCATATCAAACGGTAAAACAACACAAAGTTATTATTAATAGTGCAATGCAACCTTCTCAGCATTTGCAACAAAACGAAAAAAATAACACAGTAAACTTAGTGTTAATAATAGACGACATGGATCAGTTATAACATACCCAACAAGGAAGTCTATCCAGTCTGGCAAGTTTGTTAAAAAAATCACAAAAAAAAACAAAAATAATAAAATGGTAATTTATAGCACCTATATACCATGACGCATACAAATATTGTCAATAATCAAAGAATAAATCATAGTCCAAAGCATTTGTTCATTTCAACCCAAATCAAAAATATCGTGAGAATTGGAATCGCCAGATCTCTCACAAACGATAAACTCTCTATTGTTCAAAAACTTTTCGCGGACCCCTAGCTAAGAGAGTGTAGTGGTTATAGTGTAGAATTTGTATCAGTTTAGTGTAGGTGATGATGTACACCTTTTACTGAAATTGCCTTTGAAATACTGGTCAAAACACGGGCAACCCCGAGTACCCCAGCTACTGAAAGATAAACTATGAAAAAAAATAGGAAGACCTTCAAGTCAGTATGATAACTTAATTCGAATCTTAGAAAGCGCTGTATAAAAAGATATAATTTCTTATGTAAATAACTTCTCTAATAGAGCACATGATATTACAGTAATATACAGACTCTACTTTACAGATCAGCTGCATGATATGATGGGCCACAAGTTCCGGGTGGTGGCTCTGCGTCACTTCCCCTTCATGGACTACCAGCCGGTGAGCGACGAGCCGGGGGGCCCCATCATACCCAAAGATTGCCTCGACACAAGATTTATAACCACCTTTGCTGCCAAATTGAATTTCACGTCAGTTTCTTTCATGTTTCTCCTTGAAAGATCTAGTCCAGCCTTTTTTTTTCACCTTGGTTTCAATATGCTTGTCCGAGTTGATTTCGTATCTTGTTGTCAAGAAGTTTTAGCCTGAATGATAAAAATAATAGAATAGTGATAATCGACCCAGTTAATGATATCCATATTTAATGATAGTGAAGAGAAGAAAGGAAATATTTTTAGGGGCTCTTTTACAACTGTTTATTTACATTTCAAGTTGGCACCTAACACAAATTTTCCAAACGAAAATATGACATAAACATCAAAATCCATCCTTCTACAATTTCTATATCGTTGTGATTAAACAATGGAAAAATTGCTAACTGTCAAAATATATATTTTTTCTTTTCCTAAATGCAAATATACGTAGTAGATTTAGTGGTGTAGGGAAGGTCAAGTTATGTTCCTCTGAAGATAACCAATATCATGAACGTAATAACTTAATCTGAAAATGTAACTAAAACTTAGTTGAGGATTTGCATTTATCCACCAGATATGAGATGCACGAACAGCGAGAGAAACAGTGGGGAGTGCCGACGGATGGTAAATTCAATGGCATGATGGGAGAGCTTCAGCGAGAGGAGACGGACTTCTGCATGATCGCTGCACCCACACCAGAGCGCCTGCAAGTAACTGAGTACTCCAGGGGGTATCCATCTACAGAGCTTATCATAGTGTCACTCAAACCCACGGTCTTGCCTGAGTACCTCGCGCTCATTAGGCCATTTGCAGGTGCATTTTATATGTCTTGGCGAACATCTTTGTGGCAATTATGTCAGGATTGCATGATATATATGTTGTAACAAATTATCGGTAGCAAGATAAAACTGAGACTCCAGGCATATTCTTAAGTGTGCTTTGCTTCCCTCTTCCACCAGGAGACCTTTGGTTCGCGTTGCTCGGGAGCGTGGTGGCGTGGGCCTTGCTCTTGTGGGTACTAGAGAGGGCGTGGCGGTGGGTGGCGAGAGGTAGTGGTGTTAAGTTCAACACTGCACTCCTGTATGGCTGGGGCGCCCTTCTCGAGCAACCACCCCGTGACCTCTCTGTCAGCGTCTCAGGCCAAGTATGTGTTTTTAAGAAATAAAAGTTGCTAATCGTTTGGTCATAATCTAATCTTTCTAACCTGGCTATAATGAAAGCTTTCACCTATTTCTACCTCCGATTCCATTGAAGGGAATTCACAGCAGCTGCAAAATAAATGTAATTAATTTGTGAGACTTTTATCTACTGATATTTAGAACATCCTGCTGCTGGTGCTCTGCTTAATGGTATGTTGGAGCTCTGAACGAAAATGGTCGGCCAGACCAAAAGATAACTACTAAACAAACGTGCAGGACCACACCGCAACATGTTCTCATAATTGCATGATCTTGGGCATGGATAATTGTGCAAGCTCTAATGATCTTTTTTAATAATGATTAGGAGAGGGCACCGTAATATGTAATTGAATATATTGACCTTTGACGTACAGTCAAAGTTCTAATTTTCGCAGCTGATTTCACAATCTGAAAAATTGCGTCACTCAGTCTTTCTCCATCAGAACAGGACCTCGTCACAAATACGCCTTCTGGCTAAGAGGTGTTTATCGGTCTAGGACGCCAAAGCGCACCTCCGATATTGTCCCAAACACCATAAGCTATATATTGCCTTGATAGTTATATCTCTTTGCCTCCCGTCTAAAGTTTCTCTTTTTGTGTGACTGTGAGTATAGCGTGTATGATAAACACTCCCACTCTCACCGTGACTACACGAACAGATGTTGGTGGGGTGGTGGCTGGTGTTCTGCCTGGTCATTAGCACAGCCTTCCGTTCCTCACTGATCGCTCACTTGACAGTTCAGGGGAAATCGCCCACCTTGGAGACTTTTCAGGATCTGTTGGATAAGGATGTCTGGAAGTGGGGCACTGAGCGATGGCTCTTGTCCGGCGTCCCTTTGGAATATTTTTCTAAACACTTCGATCCAGTTGTGCAACAGATATATAAGCGCATGGAAGTAAGTCATTGTTATCATTAAAACCTTTTATGGTGCTGGCTTAAGCATTAGCCCTCTAAGGACCATAATTTAAGCAACAATTCTCAATAGATGCTACACCTCTCGAGGTAATAAGAATAAGAATAAGAATAAGAATAAGAATTTAAGAAAAAACATAGTTACAGTAATTACACTCAAAATGAAGTATACATTTTACTGTAAATTATGACTTGAATTTTCTGTGCACTAGATCCTCCCTGTAGACGAGGCCCTAAGCAATGTCAAGAAGGGAGGCTTCTCGTTCCTCACCTTCAGGGAGTACGTCAGCATCATCATCGCTTCCCGTTACACTGACTCCCTCGGCAATACCCCCTTCTACGTCAGCAAGACCAGCGTTTCCATGATGGCTGCCTTTGGATGGGGAACGAGGTAAGTGAATATTAAACATTTTAGTAATCGTTACATTTTCATCCACACCCTGATAGTTTTAACTTTGTTTACTCACCTAACAGAGTACGATCATCAGGGTCGGATTATGGCTGTGAGAGACCTAAGGTCAATAAGAGGGAAGTTTTTAAATATATATTATAATTATGTACATGAATCAGAAATATTCAAACAAACACAAGTATATATTTGTTCATCTTCGTCAACTACAAAAGGTCAAAGCGAAATACATATAAAACACAACAACACGATACAATTCATATAGAGAATGTTTTCTGGCCTTAAACTATGATAACACACATAGCATTCTTTATATACCTACTGTATTTTCAAACATATTGATTTCTTCCTGGACTTAATTGTGGGATTAACAACCCCTGAACAATAATTAAACTCAGTAATTGATAATTTTAATCTTTTCCAGGAAGGGCGCTCCTTTCTACCCGCGTTTTAGTCAACTGATGTCACTGCTGGAGGATGCTGGCATTACAGCCTACTGGAAAGCCGACGTCAGAGTCAGGCGTGTGAGGGAGAATAGGGCCGCTGCAGCCCTGGATACTCAGGCTAACCAGATGTACACACAACAGGTCAATTATACTGATATCGCTTTATTCTTAGTGGTTTCGTGTAGCATAGAGCCGAGCTTCACACACATTACGATCACATTTCATATTTTAGAGTTTGTTTTTATTGTTAAAGATGTGTGTGTGTGTGTGTGTGTATTAATAATAATAATAATAATAATAATAATAATAATAATAATAATAATAATAATAATAATAATAATAATAATAATAATAATAATAATAATAATAATAATAATAATAATAATAATTAACGGTTTATTGAAAGAGCTTGGCAGCCAGAAGGCTGAAAATATACAGTTACATAATTGGGGAATGGGTTTCAAATTACACATAATATACAAATAACATAAGTGATATAAATAAGATATATAATAACTAGATGGGGAAAAGCTCAGACTACAGGGCATTTGAACATAGTGACAGTGCAAGTAGTATTTACTGGGAGTGAATACACTGGTTTGTTACAAGTTATTGATAATTTTTACAATGTGTGTGTGTGTGTGTGCGTGTGTGTCTGTGTGTGTGTGTGTATGTGTGTGACCTCATATATGCCTCAAATTATGTTTCATCCTAAATACATCAACTAAATGTAGTCTCATCTTTCTCCAGGTGGACAGGAGGCAGGTAGTGCTCGGGTTGGGACAACTGCAGGGGGCCTTTTACCTATTATTTCTGGGCTGCGGCATTTCCTTCCTAACTCTGCTGCGAGAGAACCTCGTTCACTCTCACTCACCACCTCAGTAACATCTTCCTTACCCATCACATTATAACAATACCATGTTCATAGGAGTAAATTGTGTCATATTTTTGAGGAAATACATGAAAATCCTGCTTAGACAAAGATTACCCGCCACAACACACTACACAACAGTGTCCCAGCCCAAACCAGGAGTGCCTGAGGCATGAACCAATCACAGTGGCCTGTGAGTGTTATGTCTAAGCCTAACTCTACTAATTGGCTGGAAGCTGAGCTCGTGCCTCAACAAGAGGGCACTCGGTTTTCAAACACAGAGTCTGGTTAGAATTGGTTAAGTAAAGACGTGTGTGTGGTCGGCAGGTCCTCGGCAATGCGATATACTTGTGTGTGTATACAGTATATTGCTATTCACGTGACTCCTGTTTAACTAGCTAGGAAAATAGGTTTATTGTTTTAAAAGTGTACTGGTCATTCTGAATAACTTCGTTAATAAACGAAGACCAGTTGTGATTAGTTCTCAGTTCCCTTGTGTATGAGTATGTCCCCCTGAGTGTCTTGGTGGTATGCAGTGATACAGTGAGTCCTGAGTAACAACACACCTATCACCTGTTTCTCCTTCTCAGTTCTTCCTTAGTTATCAGCCTCCCCTCTCTTCCAGTTATTCTATCTTTCCTCATCCTCCCCTCATATCAGTTATCCTCTGGTGGGGGAGTGACCACAGGTAAACCTCCACCTCCCTAACCACAAACCAGCTGTTAGCATCTCTCGTTCCTCCTCCTTCCTCTCACTTCACCTTCACCGCCTCCATTTCATGAGTATACAGGGAAAGAAAGAAAAAAGAGTAATAAGAACTGAGAAGAAGAAAATAAAAGGAAAAATAAAAGCACATTTATTACAACATGACCTCTGGCCAGAATGATGACACTGAATATTTGAAAATTATTGAAAAAATTGCACAGCAATGGAAATGCTAAGATAAGCAGCACCATGATTAGAATACGCTCCTTGAACTGTAGTTGTTCACATTATTAAATCGAATTAATTTTTATTTAGCCCTATTTACCACACGAAATATGTAACATACTCGGCGCGCTGCTCCGCTAAGACAGCAGACGTCTCTTATGCCACGGGAAAAGCTGCTAGCCTGGTATGTCAGGCCTTCTCCCTTCCCCATCTCGTCCTCCTCACCAGGAATTATTAACTTCCTCCCACCAACAAAACAGAAAAAAAGGTTCACAATCAACCCACAACTGATATACTAAAGTGACAATTTTAACTCAAAGGGAATGAAAAAAAAACAGCAAGAAAACAACAACAACCAAGTGTACTACCCCTCTTAGTCCGTTGGTAGATAAATTGGATGGTAACATAGTCAAGGACATGACTGACAAGGACGGTATGACAATCTTTATTGCTGGTTACTCCCAGGTACGGCACAAAGATAGAGCGTTCTGTGTCCTCCCCCCAAAAAATAAATTGGATGAGGGCGTGTTTGGCAGCAGCTGGGGTGGAGGATATAGTTGACAGGTTGGACAATATCTTGTATGGAAATAGGAACAAACCCATTATCTGCCTCAGTGCAGGAGGCAATGATATTGGGCAGCTATCAAACATATTAGGATAAAGAGGAATATCTCTATCATATGTGGTGTCCTCCCTAGAAGGAGAGTAGGCAGTGAATGGTTGTCAAGGGCAGTTGTTATCAACGGCCATCTTGACAGATATTGCGAAACAATATCATTCCCATTCATTGACAACTGGGACAACTTTTATGGTAGAAGGGATTTGTATAGGAAAGGGGTGGCAACCCTGGCTGACTCTCTCGAAAAGGCATTTCAGAAGGTGTTGAAGTCTCTAAACTGATAAGGGAGCATGTGAGCACGGGGGTCGAGGAGACTGCAGTGGGCGTGGGTAAACAAAGCGAAAATTTACAGAGAAATAGTGATAAGAGTAACAAGGCTAAATTAGGCAGGAAGTTAAAACCAAAATGTGACAAAGAGAGGACTCAGAGTAAGACAACTTAAATGTCTCCTACACGAGTAGTAGGTATATCGGAAATAAAATAGATGAAATCAGGGCGTTGGTGTGTACCGAAAAAAAAATATATAATAGAATTCCCTGAAACATGGATAAACATACACTCACGTGAGTTACCTGTCGAATACCAAATATATGGTTACAAATTATTCCATACCAAGAGGCAGATTCAGAAAAAAGGCGGAGTAGCAATCTATGTCAGTGATAATCTGAAGTATGAAATCAATAAGGAAATAATAACTGAATTGAATACACAACAGTTTGGATAGAATTAACCGATGGTTGGGGAAAAATAATCATAAGGGTAATATATAGACCTCTTGATCTCTATACGATTAATGAACAACTTATTTGGGATGAAATACTCAAGGTATCCAGACATAGCAAAGTCTGTATAGTAGGCGACTTTAACCTTAGTCAAAAAGAGTGGACCGACCTTACGGGTAACTGAAACTCAGAGGATTTTCTTGAAACAGTTAAGGACTGTTTCCTAAGTCAACGTATAGCCGAATCCACCCGGGGTAATAATATACTAGATTTAGTTCTGTCAAACAGAGAAAACCTCATTAGTAAAGTCGAGGGAGGGAACGAACATGCCAACAGCGATCACAAAAAAGTGAGTTCGGGGTAGAAAATTATATCAGTCGCAAGGAAAATTCCATTAAAGTCCCAGATTTCAAAAGGGCAAACTTTGCTTGGTTGAAAAGGCAGCTGGGAGAAAGGCTATCACGTTTGGGGGTGAAATCCATGACCTCAGGTAAAGTGGTAAATAACGTGACCTCAGACAATGTATCCATAGAGGGTAACCTCACTTTACCTGGTGACCTAACAACAATGACTTCACAAAATGTGACTGCTGAGGGTGACCTGACCACGAGATCTGAGGTTGACGAGTTCCATAGGCATTTAAATAATGAGTTGCAAAATATACCATACAGAAAATTCAGATCAAATAACAATGACTCCAAATGGATAATCGATTAATAAAGAATCTTATTGGACAATGGAAGGCTATAGGTAGGAGAATAAATCGTGGTGAAGTTTACCTACGAGATTTTTATAAAGCATTGGCTAGTAGGGTTGAGAATGAGATAAAAAAGCAAAGAGGAATAATGAATTGAAGGTAGCAAGGGAGGCGAAGTCAAACCCCAAGGGATTGTTATAAATGTATCAAATAAAACACGAGACAAGATTAGACCAATACAGTCAGATACCGGCGAGCTAACTGATAACGACGGAGAAATGAGCAATAATTTGAACAAATGTTTATCAACAGTTTTCACAACAGAGAATTGAAACATAATAGCGAGATAGTAGTGACTAGTAATGATGTTAGTAAACAAATAGACAATACTATCACGTGCCCGGATTGGCCTAGAAAAAGCTTCAAAACCACGTGTTTAAGTGGCCCATTGGGACTACTTGCCCACTAAATGGGGGCTACAATAGAATGTGGTCTACCAAGCTAGAGTTGGTCTACCGGGATATTTACAATGTAGCATCCATTAACTTAACCTAACCTAGGTTAGGTGAGGTTAAGATACATTAGATTAAGTTAGGTTAGGTTAGATTGGGTTAATAGCTGCTACAGTGTAAATATCCCGGTAGACCAACTCCACCCTGATATACGGCGTACTATAGTAGCAACCGGTAATGACTATTTTTATATGAATTACGAAAAATGAAAATTAACTTTTCTATATAACAGTAATGACTGTTAAAATACAGAAGTAAAAAAGCTCTGAGAAAGCAACTACTCGACAGACACTGTACAGCAGCCATCCATACCCTTACGTCAAAATGATCACTTGCTGTACAGTCTGACCCAGATGACACCGTGGCAACTCTCCACCCTTTACAGTTGACAGATTGATGATAAAACTGACGACTTTTATAATATTAATAGATACAACACTTTATCATAAAAAATATTCAAATGAGGAAAATTAAAAGTTAATAGTTTTAGAGTAATTTCTCTGAAGAATTTTTTCGCCAATAACATTGTATCCTATGGTTAAGGCAACTAATGAACTGGTCTCGAGAAATAACAGCGTGCCAGTCTACTTTTCGAAAATTCTGTGTTGCTGGTGATAATATTCCAGTGCTAAGAAAATTATGTAAAACGGAGGTATGTGGACGTATCTTGACGTAATAAAAAAGTTAATGAATAAATACCTATAACCCATCAAATAGGGTGTTGATACGCAAAATATAAATTTTTTACTCATGAAAACCCAAACGTTGACCCACCAGACCCGCCCCGGGTCTGGTGGGTCAGCTATGTGATCCGTGACCCGCCTTGACCTGCCTAGAATTAACTCCGAAGTGAGAAGACATCTTTATAGACAGATTAATAGGTTTTGCAGTCAGTGGTCGGAAGAAGAAGGAATGGAAAGAAATTACATA